ATAGGATAGGATAGATAGGATAGGATAGATAGGATAGGATAGATAGGTAGATAGATAGATGAGAAACATAAAAATACAAATAAATAAATAAATAAAGAAATAAAGATAGATCGATAGATAGATCAAAATATAGATCGTGGATAGATAGATAGATAGGTGGATGGATAGATGGATAGATGGATAGATAGGATAGGATAGATAGGATAGGATAGATAGGATAGATAGGATAGGTAGGATAGGTAGGATAGATAAGATAGATAAGATAGATAGGTAGATAGACAGATAAGAAAAACACGATAGATGGATAATAAAGAAAGAAAGATCGATAGATAGATAGATCGCTAGATAGATCGATAGATAGATCGATCGATAGATTGATAGATCGATAGAAGATCGATAGGTAGGTAGGTAGGTAGAGATAGAGATAGAGATAGAGATAGAGATAGAGATAGAGATAGAGATAGAGAAAGAGATAGAGATAGAGATAGAGATAGAGATAGATAGATAGATATTAGACAGAGATAGCGATTAGATAGAGATAGAGATTAGATAGAGATAGAGATTAGATAGAGAGATAGATAGATATAGCGAGAGGCAAACAAAGAGGGGTTGGAGGATTTTTCCAAAAATAAACACAACATTGACTCATGGCGTCTTCCTTTTGCTGGACAAATTGGCGAGACAAAGCAATGATGGCAGAAGTGTCTTGACAGACTTCAGCAAGGACACATCCCCTTTGGGATGGAGTCGTTGTGGCGGCCGTGTGAGTGGTCTACCTTTGACTTTCGGGCGCTTCAAAAGGTGCGAGTTGTCGACCATCTCTGGATGGTTTAGCATAAACCACCTTCTGGTGGATTTCTGCATGTATAGTATAGAACCTTATCGGTTGGAGGCCATTCCTAGAACCGCCATGGCCGCTTCTGCTCACCGACCAGATTCCCTTTTTCGCTCCACGCGGGTCGTGGGATCGTTCTCCGAGCTCCGCGGCGCGATGAGTGGCCCAACGGCCAAGCACCGCCGCTGGGCAAAGCCTGAGCGCCTTCAGAGTCCACACAGGACCCGAACTTGGAACGTCATTGTCTACTAGGGGGCTCCTGGCCTTACTACTAGGAGCAAAGGACGCTACTAGGAGCAAAGGGCATCGAGGACGCTACTAGGGGCCCCGCCTCCCTGCTTGATTAAGGGAGTTCACACGCTACTAGGCTAACTTCACTTGTAGTAACTGGACGCAGGATAGCTCACGCCTCTTCAAGGAAGCTCCCCCCGCCGCCCTAAAGGCTGTGGGGGGAAGCTTCCTTGAAGAAGCGCTCGCACTATTCACGTGGTTCCTAAACTTTTAGGGAAACTTACCCTTTTGAACCATCTTTAAACCTTCTGTTTCCATCTCTTTCCACATGATTGGCCCCACGCCACCTTTGGCTCATTTCTTCAGGGCTGTTTTTTGGGTGAAGATGAACGTGTGCAAAAAGGATAGAAGTCTATTGAGAAAAGACGTTCTCTTTCTTTCTTCATTTGTATGTTTTTCCTATTTTTCTTATTTCAATGTGCTTCCCGTGCTCTCTTCACTGTGTGAGTCAATCCAAAACCATGGCAACCACCATGGCGCTGGAAAAGACTTTGCCGAGATAAAATGAGGCTTTCTGCAAGCCTCAAGGCGGCCAGCCGCCCTCAAGTTGAAGCGAAAGACAATGAGCTAGTAACAATGGCCTCCAACCTGAGACCGATGGCCTCCCATCTAATTGCAATGGTCTCCAACCTACAAGCGATGGCCCAACCTTAAGAGCAATAGCCTCCAACCTGATAGCAATGGCCTCCAACCAAATAGAAATGGCCTCCAACCTAATAGCGATGGCCTCCAACCTACGAACAAAGGCCTCTAACCTAATAAAGCGAAAGACAATGACGGAAGCTTCTACAAGAGGGCTCTAAGGCCGTCATGCTGATAGCTGCTTTTGCACTATCATGCCAGAAATCTTTGCCTGAGCTTCGCTGGCTTAGCCAGCTCTGCCATACTCTACTTATTAATTTCAATGTGAGGCCTCACCGCCACCTGGAGCTTTCAAAACAGACCCACTACAGCTCACGGTCACTCATCTTCTCAATCCAATCAAAAATTAGATATAATTAGGAGTCTCTTCCTAACAGCAATGGCCTACAAACCAGTAGCGATGGTCTCCAACCAGGTAGCAATGGCGTTCAACCTAGTAGCGATGGCCTCCAACCTAATAGTCATCAAAACCTGGCAATCTGTGCAGTTCTAACGGATGTATTACAGTTTTCTCGCATATCCAATCGCTCCTCTCCGAACTCAAACACATCATGTAAACAATGTAGGCAATCCCTTCACTCTCATACTCTGCAAGTTTCTCAAAATTTCCCATTGTGTCTTATGGTGCAAGCCTGTTCTTATGCTCTGAGCCCGACATTTATTGAAACCTATTACAGTAAGTTGGCATGGGCTGCGAGGAAAAAACATATGGGTTTGATGATGAAGCATCATTTTCTTTCCCTATTTTCTATAGCCCATACCCTGCCAGACTTGGTGTCGCGTAATAACCAACACCATTCGAAGCGCCCGGAAGACAAGTCTTTGTGATACTTTGCGAGCTGAACAAACTCGTTGGGTTGGGGCTCCGGGCACTTATCGGAACCTGCAAGCTACCCACCCCATGTGTCACATGCACTGGAAAAACTTGACCAGAAAAATCCTTGCCAATCGCAAAAAAAACAATGAAACCAATGAAAACTAAAGAAAACAAACCACCTTGAACGACAAGTTTTGCATAAAGAGAGCTTGCTATCGAATGACCTAAACGCTTGCCTTATAAGGACTTTCGGAATGCCGAACTGGCCTCACCATAGGTCGAGGTGAAGCCTAACAAATTCACGAAAGCTGGACCGAAGCATGGCTAGCCTGGGTAAGGCCTTAAGGTGGGAGGCCAAAAAGGAAACCTTCAAGCCATTTATCGCAAGGAAAGCCTTTCGAAGATCTCAAAACGCTTGGATTTCGACTTGCATTTTGTCTACAAACAAGCGAGGACAAAAAGGAAGTGTTTGGGCTCCTTTTGTTTATCAAGGAGATGAGGAGGACTGACACTTTCACCTTGAGACCATCTGTTGAGTTCAACTTGTTTCAAGCCATCGGAAAAACATGATCATTGCAGTCTACATCCCTGGGGTGGCACTTGTTACTAGTAGCAAACATTGTTACTACTAGTAAGGCACCTGTTACTACTAGCGTGGCACCTGTTACTACTAGCGTGGCACTTGTTACTAGTCTACATCCGTCCACCTCGAGACTCGAGAAATCGGGATCAGAAAGATCTTCACTCACCTGCGACGAGGTGGGACGCAAACGGACCAATGAGGCCCTTGATCGGTTGCCATCCGATCTACTTTGAGTCTCATGGGCCTGCTTAACCTTTGATTCAACTTTGAGGTTCCTCTCAATGCAAACCAACACCGATCACAATCTTTAGAATAAACGATTGATAAACCACGTGTGCCAAAGCAAGCTGCTTCGATCATTGGCTTTTCACTTGTGATTGAAGGTTGAACCTTCAAGTTCGGGATGGCCAGGCACGGAAGCACGATAAATCTAGGAGTGGAGCTGCGCAAGTGTTCTTCTTCCCACCAGTTGCGTGGCCGCAAGGCTCCGGGCATCCAGCGCTATTAGGTTTGGAGGCCATCGCTGTCAGGTTGGAGCCCATTGGTAGTAAAAGGTTGGAGGCCATCGCTATTAAGCTGGAGGCCATCCCGATTAGGGTGGAGGCCATTGCTATTAGGTTGGA